TAAATACCAAACATATTTAATTGAAGATTTAGATATGTTCGTCGAGGACTCGGGCGAGGATTCGGATAACGATGACGACGATTCACAGTGTAACATCCCAAAATTTGCAATAAATTTGAACTTTTTAAAACCACATAAGTATAATCAAAATCGCATCCTTTATTCAAAAGAAGTTTCAAAACTACAACCCCAAGGTCAAGTATTTCAAAAATCGTTTAATAATTATATTCCAAATTCAAGAAAAGCATAATCCAATGTAACATCAAAACTCTGACAATCAGCCTTGAGCCAGTAAGTACTATCACGTCCTGCCATCATGAGTACTTGATGATCCTAAAACAATATTTTAAGAGAAAAGAGTAAACACAAAGCTTAGTGAATTTCACACATACACAGTATCATATCACACATGCTCTACTCCTAATACACAAATAGCAACAGTATTATACACACAACCACATATGCATGCCAAAGAACAAATCAGGAACAACATACACCTATTGGGTGTAACAACCCAAAAATAGTGATAAAATTTTTCATTTTAAAATCAATAGTTTCAATCATCAAATTGTTCCAAAACATTCACAAAGTACAATATCAAAATCATTAGAGTAATAGTATCCAAAAACTGCGGAAATCATGAGGAGAGGATGTTGTTGTTGGATTTGATGTCTAAGCCCATAAATATAACTGATATGTACTTGACCCGATAGTAGCATGGTCCTTTTGGGTTGCCTTCACTAGTGCAATTTAATAGGATGCACTTTTGAGAATAAGGTTATTTGTGATTTATTAATATATTATAAGTATAATATATTAATTGAGAAATCATATTATTTAATTATTATTGGTCAAGAATTAATTTGGAATTAATTTAGTGATCATAAGAGACTAATTAAATATAAGGGGTTGATTATGTAAATCAATCATTCTTGTAGTGTGGGCCAATGATCCATTAGGATGGGCTAAATAGTTCATGGATAGTCCATGGAGCATTAACCCATGGAGCCTACGGGATATGGAAGGTCATGGGGCTTTAGGGTTTCATGGACGAAACCCTAACCTTTGCAACACTATATAAAGAGCCCCCTAGAGTCAAAATCGTGGCCTTAGTAATTCTTAGAGAGAGAGAGAGAGAGAGAGAGAAACGATTTTATTTAAGATAACCTTATTCTCTCAAGCCTCCTTTTGCATATGGTGTTTGTGACACATTAGAGGCATCACACTTGAGGTGCTAAAGCTTTCAATGGCCAAGAACTACAAGTCCTAATAAGAGGTAAGTCATCTAACTAGTTGAATTGTTCAAATTGTCATATTGTATGCTAGTTGTAGGCTCAAAGCTTTGGAAACAATATTGCATATATAATTAGAAAAAACATAGATACAAAGCTTTTAGGTTTGTATGTGCACCATAGGATGTTGTAGTATACAAAACCCAACAGTGGTATCAGAACCATGGGTTGTTTTCTGTTATATTCGATGCATGGCTAAGTTTCAAAGTTGAAAAAATCGACTTTTCTGCATTTTGACAGATGAACTCGCCGAGTACATGAACAGACTCGACGAGTCCACTCAGTAAGGTATCAACTCGGCGAGTCCAGCTCATGGACTCGACTAGTTGGTGCTCCTGTGTGGAGAAATTTCGAGTTTTTTGGCCAGAAATGGATAGGATCATTACCACAAACTGTTTTGTAATAATAAAAAATGTATTTTCTGAATTGGTAATGATTGTTTTTCATCTATTTAAAAGGAAATTGTCAAATGTTTAGATAATAAAGTGATTATTTGTAGTATTTGATATGAATTGTCTTGTTATGAGTTAGTTTAGGTCAATAGAAAAAATTATATGATAATTGTGTTTGATCCAAAAATTTGATCTAATTATTCATGTTATGTGTTATTGAAACTTGTCCTCAAGTTATATGAAAAGTCACATTCATGAACATTAAAACTCATAAAATTTCCATAAGTTATGAAAATGAAGAGTCTCATGTTTTAAATGTTTTAATGTCTTCCATAACTTGTCCTCAAGTTATGGAAATTGAAGAGT